AATAATAATTAAAATAAAGAAAAAATAGAAAAAAAAGCACATTTGTTTGAAACAAGTTGGGACGGGAAGTTTTTGTTACAATACATTTCGACGCTTGTTAAATCAGTTTCACGTTTATGTAAAAACGACAGATGCATTTTCGGGGGGGAAAACTTTTTGTTTTCAATCTAAAAGWTACTTGTTAACAAATTTATTACTATTGACACATTACTACTACTATTACTACAGACGTGTTTGTCTTGCGGAACCAATGTAGACAGTAAATCGTACGGAACTATTTTTGGCCGGACCAGCTTAGCGGAAGTTGTGTACCTTGCTTGCGGAGGTCAACTATTAAGCCATCTCTCCAGGCAAGTTAAGGTATTTTAATTGACTTATTTGTTATTTTGAACATTATAAACATTTTCGCACTAAGTTTGCTTATGTTTAGTGCTTATTTGAATAATTTAACTTTACTTTTTTTAGATTCTGGTCTTCTTTTTGTTCCACTGTCAGCTCTAACATTAATTTCGGTTCGCAGGTTGAACTAGTGTGTTCTGGTGAACGGGTGATTGTGTTACATTTTACCGACATGGCAAAGAAGAAGAGGCTGCGTCTCATAGCAGAAATGGCTCGGAAGATCCGGGCGTATCGGGAGCTGAAGTCGCGTCCGCGGGACTCTCAGAAATACGCCCTGGACTATGAGACGATGAAGCGGCCTCTCACGGGGAAGATGCTGCCTGTGATGGCTTGGAGGGATGTCCGCAAGGAGATCCGCCTCTTCTCTCTGTTGGCGGGTTTGAAACTGTTCGGGATTGGCCGAATGTTCACCCGTAAGTCCTGGCTGGAGGACCACACGGAGCCCAGCTACTGGCAGATCACCAAGGTCAAGGTGGACCACACAGCTGAGGTGAGAGGTGATCCAGCTCCCTGAAATGGAGATATTGTGTTTTAATCTAAAAGTACATTAAAAATTTGATTCTTAATGGTGGCATATTCAGAATGACAAACATATAAATACACACTTTATTTAAAAATATAAAAATATGTACATTTGAAGGTATGCGTGCATATTGTTTGCTTATATTTCTACTTATCATCATAAAAACGCACACGCAGAATCTTGATTTCATTCTGCTGTTGCATCAACAGTTAACTTTTATTGAGCCAGCACCAAAACACAGCTGAGTGTGTATCAAGACTTTATCCAAATTGACCTGGTTCAGAAAGCCACTTGAGAATATTTAGCAAGTTTTCTTATACGGACATATTTATACCCTTTTTATAATGCGTTGTCTTTGTGTGTGTGTTATATAACAAGTTACCCAAAGCCACTTTTGTTTTCTGGTGTAGAACATGGATCACGGGAAAGCTTGGGGCATCCTCACGTACAAAGGTAATATCAACATCTCTAACTGAGCTGAAATCTGATTGTAATAATGTGATAATACTGTATATTATTACTGATTCTCATTTGGTAATTACAACACACAATCAAAAGTATTTATTTTATTTTTGTCCCYTCTGTTTTATTTGTACAGATTAAGGGAGAAAGAGGCATGCAGTATGAGTAAAATATTGTTGTATTTGACAGGAAAATCAGAGAGTGAGGCCAAAGAGGTGGACAAGGTGATGTACCACGATTGGCGCCTGATTCCAAAACACATGGAGCAGCAGTTTAAAGACTTCACGCCACTCCCGGAGCCTCCGATGCGCTACGTCCCATACCCTCCACTGCTGCGTGCAATGATGTTAGCTGAGCATCACAAAGCAGGAGGCAGCGGAGAGTTCAAGGAGCCAGCCCTGCCGTTAAAGAGGGATGTGAGGCTGACCAGAGCCTATTTCATCGCACAAGCTAAAGAGAAACAAATGACAGAGGGCACAGCTGTATGAAAGAAAACGTGTGGCTCACAGATCCTTGGACATTGCTGTGACTCCATGTCCTGTTTGTCCTGGACTCAAATGAGCTTTCTGTAAATGTTGGGAGTGTGTCTGAGTAATAATAAACTTGAGATCAAACAAGGCCCATTTAAACGTTTTTTAATCTACTTATATATTTATAGGGGAGATATGAGTGTTCTACTTGTACTGTATATGCAAAAAAATTTACACTGTAAATAAACACTATACATTTAATTTACATTTGACAATACCTTAAAATGCAAATGTTTCTGACAAAAGTTGAGGTAATAAAGTAGATCGGTATTCCTGTGTTAAAACTTTATAATACATCTGAAACATTTTGCAGTATATAGCATTAAGATATGTTGGATATATATATATATATGTATTGCCCAGAGTCTGAGCTTTTCATGAAGTGTTTGCTAATTGGTCTCTAAATGCATTTAGCCTTTTTTAACCCTCTAAGCACGCACGCTGGCAGCTGCACCACGTGGCCACGCTTCCGAAGCGTTCCTATAGCAACGCCAATCCGCGCGAGCGGGCGACTAGTAGAGTMTCGTGCCATCCCTCACTGGTCCAGTCCTCCGTCCACAATGATTTTCCTGTTTATGTCGATGTTCGCTCACTTCTTCCAGTCAGGTTAGTGTTATATTTAAACCTGTACAACGYCCTGGCTTTTATGGGGCATCGGTGTGAGTTTTACCCGCTCAGTTTTCAGTAGAGTAGGCTCCGGGCTGATGCTGCGCTTGGTTTGGTGGAGTCGATTAGCATCGAGCTGAGACCAAACCGCTAACTTTACCACAAGCGCTAAAATGCCTTTTTGCTTTAAGTGTGACTAAAAATAACGAAGCTGTCAGTGTAACAGCACGACTGTGCGGTTAAAGCGCTTGTAGTTAGCATGCTAACAGTGAGCTCGCTTTACTGTAGAAAAGTTGAATCATTAGCTTCTGCTCAGGCTTTCCTGCGCATGCGCAGAGCGCTGGTCGCTGCAGGAGCACCGCAGGAATGAGGTCAATATAAAAGGACGCACAGATAGAATGAGCTGGAAGATTTGGCGCTGAAACACGCCYAGATTTATAGATTTGGTGAAACAAACTGTTGTCCATCTTTGTTTTGAGTTTCTGATAGAAAGCCTTTTAGATCTCACATGTGGGTGGTGGAGCAGGAGTGGCCCTTGGACAGCCAAGATGGTACCTAGGCAAGGTTTTAGGTGGCGTTCCTTGTGCAATTTTTTAAATCTCTGTCAATTTACATACATTCACATACTAAATTAAATAGTTTTGCCTTTGACTCTATTTTATCTTTAGAAACCAGGTTTTCCAATTAAAATGGATAACAATATAAAGATTTTCCTCCTAGTAAAATCTTCTCAAAACTATGCATTTTATAACCATTTGAAGAGCATTTTACTAAAATCTTGAGATTAATAAAACAACATAAAATCTGTGTTTTATGAATGTGGAACACTGAAAACTAGACTTCAACCTGAACTTAATCTCAGATCATAACTGAAATGTCCATTATCCTTTTTTTGTTTTGTTTTCTGTTTACACACTGAGCACCAGTATTTAGTCCCGACTGCATCATATGATACTTTTATCACAAAATAGCCTCTTTGTCATCATGTAGTAACAAAGCAGGCTGAGAAACCCACAGAACAAGTAACTTTCATAAATTAGACTACTCACTGATTATTCTACAGACTAAATTAACTATACTCTGATGAAAAGTGATTTAAATTGTTTTTTTCCCCCCATTTGTGGAGCCCCCTAAATGGATGGTTGTCTATATGCCTATGCCGTGGGCCGGCCCTGCCCTTGGATGATCTTCAAGCCTGTCTTACACAGTAATATCAGAGTATTAGGAAGACAGTAGTTTGACCGAGCAAACTATGCTTAAACCTGTCCAAATATTAAATGGAAGGAAAAACCTAGAATTTTTTTCAAAATTATTTTTATGGACACATACTTTTACTACTTTTGCAAATGTTGCAAACAGAGGACATCGTTTTCTGTCCCAAGGTCCCACAGCCACAAAGTGTACAAGTCTTTGATTTTTACAATGGACACTAGGGGTGTAAGAAAATATTGATACACTGAAATATCGCGATATTTCATTTCCCGATACTGTATCGATATTCTAAAGCCCTGTATCGATTTTTAATTAAGCTTTAAAATGTCAACCTTCTTGCCAGCCGTTCATTTTTATGTTGTAGTTCAGCCTCTGACCACTAGTTGGCAGCAGTGAGCCAGCCATTTGGCTCCTCTACCTCTTGAGCGCCAGAGAGTAAGAGAGCATTAGCATTGTAAGTAAACATTAGCTTTTCTTTTTTTTCAGTAAGAGGTTTTTATTTAATAGAATTTTTGGACAAAAAAATCACAATATATCGGGATATATCGTATCGTGACCCCTCTGTTATGATATGTATCGTATCGCCAAATTCTTGCCAATACACAGCCCTAATGGACACACAAGAAACTGTTTAAAAAATGTGTAGGAAACTTTATTTACATTTTTGCCCCATTTTATTGTTTTTAGGTATAAATAAAAAAAAATCCTCTAAATTTTGGTGCATTTCATGTAAAACAACAAGCTATGCTAATACTGTGGAAACTTTGCATGATATTCCAGGTTGGACGGGAGTGAATGAGCGCAGCTTTGTTGCTGTGAAGCCCGATGGCGTGCAGCGGAGGCTGGTGGGAGAAATCGTGCGTCGCTTCGAGAAGAGAGGGTTCAAACTCGTAGGTCTCAAACTTGTGCAGGTATGTTTGGTGAACGATGCTGAAACAGTTTCAGCTCAATAAGTGCAGTACGTGAGCTGTTAAACACACTGTGTTTTTCAATGTTTGCTTGTGTAAACCAGGCATCTGAGGAGCTGCTTAGGGAGCATTACTGGGACCTGAGGAACAAGCCATTCTTCAGCTCGCTGATTAGATACATGAGCTCTGGACCCGTGGTGGTAATGGTGGGGCTTTTTCTTTTACTTTGTGTTAAATTAATTTAAATTAATTTTCACATTCAAACTCATCTAATGGTTTTTACATTCCTGTGCTTGCTCAGGTGTGGCAAGGTTTGGATGTGGTCAAAACCGCTCGCAAGATGTTAGGAGAGACCAATCCTGCAGACTCGCTGCCCGGAACCGTCCGAGGAGATTTCTGTGTAGAAGTGGGCAGGTAAGAGCTGACAAATTTATGAATAAGAGTATTTTTGTGTGTGTGTGTGTGTGTGTGTGTGTGTGTGTGTGTGTGTGTGTGTGTGTGTGTGTGT